TGATGTGGGCCCGTGTACATGTGTGTCCCGTCTACATAGTAAGTCCAATCACACACTGTGAATACAACAATAACTGAAAGCTAAGAGGTCCTTGAGGACATTTCATTTCGGTTTTGTCGGTTACGTTTTCCTAAAGTCCACCTGTCCATTCTTGACTATTTACACAGACGAACGAGTAGACTGAGTGCCCCATTATAATGGTAGTCCTTGCGAAGTACGTAAGTCACCCAAACTAATACAAACGTCGACAAATTTCCTACTGGTGGTACCTCCGGTGCGGTGTCTGCTCCTCTTCGACCGCTAGTCACAGTTGGGCCTGTCCTGGTTTCGCCACTCAGTGGCCTAGTTACTTGTAACTAAACACACAACACGTGGGGTCAATGTCACGTGTGCTATGTTATATCCTCTTTGAGTCAATGGTCACTGCCTGAGCTGACATGTCCTCAATTTCAAATCTGTCGTAAGAAGTGAAGCTAGTTATGGCCTGTCGTTCTTTCCATAGAACACGAATAGACAATGTCTGCGTGTGTAGTAAATTAGTTATCGAAGTGTACACCGTGACTTGGACATTGTTTGTGTTGTAGTCACGTCACAAGTGCTCGTTGTCAAGTGTCACAAAACGACACCCTAACAATACTAGTACCGTGTACACTGTGGCGATTCATTGACAGACAACGTCTACAACGTCACATAATGCACGACATCGGACACCAAACTACTTTCCATAGTACAAGAAAAAAAATCTCCACGTGTTCCGTGAGAGTTTTCGCTCCAACTATTGTAAGACTTGTTATAGAACTCGTCTGTAGCTCCGAGGAACACTCAGTAAATGATTTCACCTTCGTTGTGCCGGTCCACTCGGAGTAACTACTCTGGTGAGGATAGTCTAGTAGAATGTTAAAGATATTTCATTGAATATTTCTGGTAAACTTAGTAAACGACGTCAAGAATACACTTGTACACCAATAGAAGGACAGTTTAGTTGTAGTCCTTTACAACATTATAAAGAGTACACTTGACGGTGGACGACCATGTACTGCTACTTGATAATAATATAATGCACCGCTAATAGGGTTAGGATCTAAGTATACAATGGAAAGAAGGTCGAGTTCGACGGTACACTGTAGTTTTCGGGCTCCTGACGACGAGACACCCATTCATTTGTGGTGTTAGTTATCCAGTACAAAAATGGATGTGGACCGCGAGAGTCGTGTATATGGTTATACAAACCCTACCCCCTCTTTCGTGAGAAAGAAAATAATGTGATTTCGACAATGGTAGGCGGACGAATGTCTACTTGGCTCATGTTCAGGTCGTACAGACAATGTAAACTCCTTACATTTTCAGTATAACCGGCCGTTAAAAACAAATCAAAAAACACTTTCACTTCACACTAGACACTCCACCATTATCTGAGTCCAAAAGACGAAATCTCCCGTGCGACGTAATATATAGATTTCGACGTCAAACTAATACGCACAAACTATTCCTACCCGGTCGTGACACGACGTACCTGATCGTCCTCCAATGATTCACAGAATGTTAATACGAAACTTATTTTCACTGTCCACCTAATTCCTAACAAGTAAATATC